AAAATTAGTAATAATTTTAAGATGGCAACAATAAAGAATTCAACTAAAAAAAAGTATTGCTGTAAGGAAGTAACTCTCGTTCTATCAGGCTCTAATATTCTGATACTGCACATGGACAGTGGCTTACAGAATGACAACAACATAGACAGAATATAAAAGAAAAATATTGGAAAACAAAGGAAGGAAGACTTTTTTTGTTTTGTTTTTTTGTTACCAGGGGTACTCAACCACTGTTACATCCCCAGCTCTTTTTAATATTTTATTTAGAGACAGGGTCTCACTGAGTTGTTTAGTGCTTCACTAAACTGCTGCAGCTGGCTTTAAAATTGTGATCCTCATACCTCAGCCTCTAGAGCTGCTGGGATTACAGGTGTGTGTCACTACGTCCGGTGGAAAAGAAGACATTTTAAAAAGTGGAAGTAGAATATCAAATCATATTATATTAAAATGCCATGAGTAAGTTTTCCTGTCTCCGATGTGCCACAGTTTGCACAATGCTAGGTGAATTATGCAGAACAGTACCTTTCGTTTGGCCTTCAGCTGCTCATGATACTTGTCACAGGTATCTCCTGGGATCTCTCCTCCCCAGAGAGTAATTCCAACGATGGTGTATGTGATACCCATGATGAGCAACGGGAAGCAGTACACCAGAATAATGACAATAATGTGGTACCTGTAAGGAATCAGAAAACAATCTTTTGGAAAAAAAATATGTGGAACTTCAAATTTGTTCAGTTTTGAATCATAATAAAAAATGCCAAAGATAATTTTCACTTTATGTCCTCATTTCACAAACTGATCAAAATGTCATGTCATGATTAGTGTCACCTGGATTCATGTTTCAAATGCTGCCAATTGACCTATGTTAGTCTTTGTATATGGAAGCATGTAACTGCAGTAAAGTGCTCATTTAATCTATGCATATTTTCTTTGCTTAGTAAATGGAGAATGAATGCCTTTCCTCTGCTTGGTTCTCTATTTAGTAATTATTCAGCTAAGCTAAACATATTAGAAATTAAATATTAGAAATAAACTGCTTTTCATCTAAATGAAAATTAAAAGTTAAGTAGGTACTCTGAGATAAATTGGATACAGGAGTTATGTGTGATTTTAAAAATTTGGCAAAGACACATGCTTTTTTCCAAAATCATGGTGCCTTTGATTTATTAGCTTGTTAAATAACATGCATACAATATAAGTCACCAATAATTATCAACATCAATTCTAGGATTCCATGGCTTTCAACCAAAATTATAAGGATTCAATTAGGGAGGAGTAGAAGTTTATGTAATAACTTTATAGCCTAAATAGAATTTTACAAATTTAGTGTGGCTTTCATTTTTTTAAGAAGGCTTTACAGTAATTGAGGAGTTTATTATAATAGTCTTATCAATACCTATCCTTCTCTCTCTCTCTCTCTCTCTCTCTCTCTCTTTTAAAGTGAATCTTAAACCTTGCTTTTCTATTTCTTAGTGGCTTGCTGTATCTGATTTAAAGTTTTGTATCAATGGGGAGTGCTCCAGTCACTGTGTGGGTGGGGAGGGAGGTAAGCCTTCAGGCTTACACTCAAGGAGTGTACCTCAGGGATGTGCACCTCAGGGATGGTGGAGGAGGGAGATAATTGCAGCACCAACCTGCTGGATTATATATTATCTAGATCCATCTGTTCTGTCTTGTGTTTCCTGTTTTATTATGTATCTGTGTTTGTTCCCATTCTAGAATCTAGAATTTTTGGCTCCAATAAGTGGGCCATTGAACAACAGCAAAGATTCCAGAAATCTGTAGCAATCTAGTAAAAATGTGACACAGAGCTGTGGGCTGGTCGAAACACCTCTTTATGCTAAAGGAAGAAAAGCCTAAGACAACCATGATTGTCTCTCTTGCTGCAGTTGTTTGGACTGTACAGCAACTCTACAACCTGTTTCTCACCTCCTACTGGATAAGTGACTTTCTTACTGTTGCTTCCTGGACTAAAATCAACATGGAATCATTTCAAAGTATATTTCAGTGGTCAAAGGGAGAAAACAAGCTTCTTAAACAAAAAGAAAAGAAAAAAATGCATAATACATCTGTTTTATTCAGTGTGGTTAATGGAATATGCATCACCCTGGGAACAGTTTCTATTATGCTGCTTGGATATTAAAATGTTACAGAAGTAGCTCTTGTCTGCCTCACTCTGCCCTTAGTTAATGGAAATTCACACTTCCCAGGTAGGACTTGAGTATAGTGTCGTTGAGTCAGTTGTAGCTGGGCACCTTCTTATCAGTTAGCCTTGAATGGACAACTCATTAGTGAGTATGAATTGTTTTGATTTTTCTCACCTGGAGTTCAATGAATTCTTATTTTTGACAACTTCCTTTAGAAGAACACAGTGGTAAACTTTATTCAATGGTACGATTAACAGTGACTTTGGATGATCATTCAAGTTGATATTTGTTTTAGCTAGATATAAGGTAATGGTCTGTACCACAGGAAGCTGATTCTACTGTCTGCTTCCACAGTGTACTTAAAAAAATTGTCTGACTTCATGAAATAAAGACCAAGTTTATGACTTCTGATGATGAGACCAATTAAGATTCATTCCTTATGCTGTTTCTTTACCAGGAGAGAAGAAGCTCTCTGGAATAAAATGAAACTAATTCTATGTTCGAGTATGTGTAGGTTTCTTGCTTGTGCAAAATTTAGCAAGTTCCAGGAAACATTGGTACTTTGTTCCACACAGAGAATGAGACAGGCTTAGAGCTCTTGTTCCCTGCATTACTTTAATTAGTAAAGCTTTAAGCCCTTTGCACAACAGACTTGGAAAAGATCATAGTTAGAATTCTTTTTAGCGCATTTTTCATTTTAGATATTCAGCTGACTTAAAGTACACAGTAGGTTAAAAAGCAGGTCTGTGACCTTTGACCAGCTAAAACAAACAAACAAAAAAAGGATAGAAGACTTCCTGTGTTTGGTCAAAATTTAATGCAGTAGAAAATAAAATAATTTTCTACTAATTATTTGTTCTTTTTAGATATACATGACAGTAGAGAGTATTTTGACATATTTTACAAATATAGAATATAACTTATTCTTTATCATTCTGCATTAATAATGGTCCCCATCCCTTTGACATTGGAGAAAGTGTCTACACCTGTGTTTGAATTTTTTCTTCATTACTTCTTAGAAAAATTAAGGACTGGTGGTGAGAAAAGACTGGTGATAGCCGATCTCCTGTCTATGTATATTTTGTAACTCTGTGGAAAGCTTATAATCATTCTTTCCCTCTCAGTAGCTAGAAATTTAGAATAGTTGAAGTCTGTAGAAATGAAAAGGGTTGAGGGCCGAAATGTAACATATTTGGGAACAATTCTTTTTTTTTTTTTTTTTTTTTGGTACTGGGGATTGAACTCAGAGGCACTCAACCACTGAGGCACATCCCCAGTCCTATTTCGTATTTTGTTTAGAGACAGAGTCTCACTGATTTGCTTAGTGCCTCAGTTTTGTTGAGGCTATCTTTGAACTCACAATCCTCCTACATCAGCCTCCCAAGCTGCTGGGATTACAGGCATGTACCATGGCTCCCAGCTGGGAACAATTCTTAAATTGATTAACTAGTTATACTATAGCTTTATGAATTTATTTCACTGTTGATGTCAAACCTGTTCCTTGTGGTGTATCTGTCCCTAAATAAGTGTTTTCTTCCCTCCAATGTGATTTTAAACAGTAGCATCTATTATCGTATGTTTGTATTTTTTTTAATGTTTCAGATGATAACTACCTTAATTTTACATGTATTTCATCTTTGCAAATTTCTGGATTTGGTGTGTGTGTGTGTGTGTGTGAATATATATTGTATTTAACTTCTTCGGCAGTTTTAATTCTGTATTATTTCTTCAAGTAAAAGAGGAAAATCTTGGGAAAAAGTCAATGGAGAAGTAATTCAGTGAGTAAATAATTCAAGGATGATATTGTTATACAATTAAGATTTATTAATTATAATGAACAGAATACAGCATTCAGTTTAATAACTGCTGCCTGATTCTGCTTTACTAGTGCCAGCTAATATTTTTTTTCTTAAAAATTCTAGATTAAAATGACTGCTTAAAAGATGACCATTATTTGAATCATTTCTTAGTTTTAAAGAAAAAAATAGGTTATCAAAAGTAGGAAAATAAGCATTTTATTGTAATAAAATTCAAATGATCAGAATAACAAATATAATCAAGTTACAATAAATATAATCAAGTGTATGATTATGCTATTTTTCCCTTTTGCTTTTCTTTAGGTGGATCCAAAGTACAAAATGCCAAATTCTAGCTTACACCATTCCTATTTCCTTTCTGACCCAGTGCTCAGGTTTCTTAATGCTGAAACAAATGAACAAGACCAAATCAAGCCAAGGCAAACTTAGAGGACCTGCCAGGACCTCCCTTCCCTTCTGCCAGGCTCCCTAAAAGAGCAATCAACACATTCGGGCTTTGGTTCCTCTGTTCGAACTTCTCAATCAATAACAACCCTGCTTTCCTTGGCAAGGTTCTTTCATTTGTTATCACTGACTCCAGGAAACTCTCCCGTGCTGTCCCATATGGAAGTCATCACGTTTCCAATTAAAACCTTTGTAACTTATACAGACTTTCTGACCACATCACACTGTCTTATAATAATTTTATGTTTTTTTTTATTCCAAGTAGTAAGTGAGCCCTGAGACAAACATCTATGTCTTATTAATTTCTGCTCCAAACCACTATTTCCCTAAGTGTCTGATAAATTGAATTGAAAATCATTAGAGAGAATTAACTTACGTGAAATGTTGTTTGGGACCTTCTGGCCATTGAACATAGCAAAGAGTGCGGCTGGGCATGACTTTGATTTTGGAATAAAGACACTGAGGAAAGGCAAGTAGAAATGCCAGAATCCAAATACTTCCAATGACAATCCTGGTAGCTGTGGCAGACAGTCTGGGTTTCAAGGGGTCAATAATGGCCATATACCTATATGGAAAAAAAAAAAGAATGTTTTGTTGATTCTTTTGATGTTGGAGTTTAAAAATTAACTTCAAAGGTATTTCTATAGATGCAATTATCTCTGTTCCGGTAAATGAGTTGATGAAGATTTGGGTTGTACAAAGGCAGTAGTCTGAGGAACTAGGCAGATCTAGGTTCAAATCCTATTCTGACAGTTGCTTAACCTTTTTAAACCTCAGCTTCATTATTTTTAAAATAGAAATAAGAACACCCACTTAGGGTGCAGTAAGATCAATAGAAATAATATAAGTGAAGAATATTGATTGTTTGGTGCTGTGCCTACCACATCATCAAAATTCATAAACGTGTGTTGAATTGAATTGAAAAGGCACATAATAGGTGCTTAAAAATACTAGTTCTTCTCCTCAAAGTCTTCATTTCTTTTCTGTCTCTTTAACTTCTTAAAAAATTCTGACAAAGTAATATGGATGGTACCTATATAATTGACAAAGATGAAGAACTACAATAAAAAATGTGGTCAACATAGTCATTTAAAAGTAGCAGGAGACAAATTCAGGATTCAGGTATGATGGATAAATCAAATTTGATTGAGGCCATGATTTCCTGTTACCCAACAAATTGGACTCACACTGCATTGTGTAAATCTTCCTGGTATCTAACCTAGTGCCATTACAACTATGTAACTGGAAAACATAGTTACAAATGGGAAAATACATTTGAGGCTCAGCAGAGTACACTTACATATGACTGTCAGTGAATCATGGGAAATTGGGAACTATGAATTCTTAAGAAAGGTCAAATCTTATTCCCTCCATAAAAAAAGAAAATGATGTATCTCAGAGAAATAATTTTCAGTTTTAAATTGGATACCATATGGCTAATTGCAAATTTGGCTAATGTTTAAAGAAGAAAATAATATATTATATTAAAATTTAATATTTATATCAATAAAGCATTACACTGTTGGCTATTTTGTGTTTTTCACAGACATTTTAAAATACATAAAATTTCCAAAGATGATATTTCTGTCAAAGAATGACTATTGCTTAGCCTAAAATATTTTAAACTTAAGAAAAATTATTTCAAAATAAGGATAATATAAATTACCAGTTTGTTTATTTCTCTTTGTGTAACTATTAGAACTTTTTATATGTTTATTTTTATGCAATGCTAAGGATCAAATCCAGTGCTTCACACATGCTAGGCAATCGCTCTGCCACTGAGTTATGGCCCCAGCCCATTACTATTAGATTTTTAGTAGCAATATTGGAAATTATGTTTACATTATTATTAATATTGACTTTAGTTACAATTTTCCTAACATAATAGTCTTTATTCATTATGTTTGATGGCTAATAGGCAAACATGAATCAGACATAAAAAAAATTTGCCCTTCTGTGATTGGCTTATTTAACTGAGCTGGAGGATTCCACATATCTGAGGTACCTAAAAATAGTCAAATTCCAGAGAAGCAGAGAGTAGAACAGTGATTGGCAGTGGGTAGCAGAAGACAATGAGAAATTGTTGCATAGGGTGTAAACTTTCAGTTTTGCAAGACAGAAAACAGCTCTGGAGATCTGCTATACAATAACAGTACCTTAATTTTCAAGTGGTATAGTTTAAAATTTGTTCAGAGGATAGATTTTATGTTAACAGATATGTTGTTACTGCATAAACAAAATAAAACAAAACAGCCCTCCCACATCATAACACAAAGAAAGCTTTGGCCGCAATGGATATATTTAATATCTTGCTTGTTGTGATTATATCATAGCTGTATATGCTTGTTCAAATTTGTTGGAATGTATATGTTAAGTAGGTACAATTTTTGTGTGTCAAGTAAATCTTAATAAAAAAAGTAGAAAAATAAAAACTATAAAATAAAACCTTGGTTTAGGAGAACAAAATGAACCATATAAAGAAAATATAATGAACAGTTAAATGGAAAACTATTTAAAATTCACGTCTTGGTGCTTATGTTGGTGAAGATATTACAAGAAACAATTTTTGACTGCTAACCAGGGCCATTTTATACATTTAGTACCTAGAGTAATATTATCAAGTAGATAATATTTTTATTTTACAGAAAAGAAAATTGAGTTTAAAGTGATTCAATAAAATAGTCATAATGACAAGAGGAATTCTAAATTAGTTGTGCCAGTCTTAAAAATCCATATAGTTACTATTTATAGCTTTTGAATATAACCATTCATGTAAAGAATTGTGGAATAGAAAAAAAAAAGATGTAATGTTGCTAACTTCCCAAAGAATCAGAAGTAGTATTATGCTTTTGAATCCAAAAACCTTTATGTGTAATATTAAAAACAAAATCAAACATGAATTGCAAGCTATCTTGCCACTGCTGTTGATGATAACCCACACAGTATTTATCACAGTATATCAATATGTATTTCCCAGCCAAGCACAACACTTGTCAATAAATTTTATTGTAGTACTAAAATAAATATTCCCCAATTCTATTGTAATCTTTTACTTTTTGTGCCCTAGAAGTTTATAAATGCAATTTGAATATTTATACAGTTGCTTTTATAAGACTAATAAAAGACTCTTGTATGGCTACCATTGCTCAGACAATTCAAAATAAATTGCAGATTTATTATTAATTAATTGGGCCACTTATCCTGATTCTATATAAGCTATTTCCCGAGAGGTAAACTATTGTTTTATTTGAATTATGTGGAAACAATTTATGTTCTCAATATTTTAGTGAGAATAAAAATATTGAAACTTCAGGCAGGCATGATTGCCATTTCTGTTCTTTCTATTATTTATTTTTTCAACAAAATATTTATTGAAAGCTTCCTGTGGCATTTCAAACACCGTGATAATACAGCACAGAGCAAAAATGACCTTCACAGATCTCAAAGCTGATGAAATAGATAGGTACTAAATTAGTCTATTTTCTGTTGCTATGAAAAATACCTGAAGCTGTGTATTTTATGTGGAAAAGAAGCTATTTGGCTCACAGTTTGGGAGGCTCAGAGATGAGGCACTGGCATCAGCCTGGCTCTCCTAAGTGCTTTGGGGTGAACAGTACTACAATGGCAGGAGCACTTGTGAGAGGAAACACCATGTGGGAAGCCAGAGAGTGAGGAGGGGCCAGGCTTGCTCTCACAAGAACTAATGGGGATCCCTTGACTGTTAAGTCTCTGAGAGGGCAGCCCTGGTGACCTAACCATACTCCACTATGCTCTGCCACCATTAAAAATTCCCACCACCATATTAGGGTCGTAGCTTCTAATTGAATCCCAGGCGGATAAATCACAGCCACATCCAAACCATAGTAAAATGTAACCAAATGATCTCACCAATAATAAAAATTACAAATGTAACAACTGTCACAAAGACAAAGTCAAGTGAATGCATTAACTGAGAAAAATATGTTGAGACGATACATCAGTATTCCTTAGGATACATCAGTATTCCTTAAGATACACCACTCTGGGTTGAAACATGGAAACGTGAGTAGACAAAGTGTCAGAAAAGTGAGGGTTGCAAAGAAGATTACTGGGGAAATGGATAATCTGTGGAATACTCTTGGGTGCATGGGGGTTTTTAGGTGTTGGATTGTGCCTGTCCTAAAAATATATGTGGAAGACCAAAATCCCCAGTATCCTAGAATGTACCCTTATTTGGAAAGAGGATCTTCACATAGATTGTCAAGACAAAATGAGGTCAATTCAATATTACTGTGTCCTTTACATAAAGGGGAAATTTGGAAATAGAGAGATACAGAGAGGGAGTGCCATGGGAAGATAGAGAATTGAAGTGATGCATCAACATGTCAAGGAACACCAGAGATTGTCAGAAACCCAACAGAACTTATAAAGAAGCAAGAATGGATTCCCTACTTGTTTTTGAGAGAGCATGACCCAGCCTACACCTCAGTTCCAGAATTTCAGTTTCCAGAACTGTGTGTCAATAAATTTCTATTATTTCAAGTCATCTGTGGTATGTTCTTAAGTCAAAGCAGCCCCAGGAAACTAAAGCAACAGGGAGAAGAAGCATTAGAGACTATTGAAATGGAAACAAAGAAAGTAGAAGGGGGGCATGTGGTTTGAGATGAAGTTATAGTGCATATTATAGATTTTTTTTTTTTACTATGAAAAGTAATTGAGAGGATTTAACTAGGGACTGGAACAATCAGATTTTCTTTCCAAGCCAGTGTCTGGTTTTAATCTGGAAAATGGACTGATGAGAAAGAATGAAAGCAGGGATGCAAGTTACCTGGCTAATATTTTGGTTTGGGTGAGAGGGAATTTCTGCTTGCAATGTGGCTCTGTTCTGAAGCAGTTTTAAATGTAATTTCTATCAAATACCAGTGTATACATTCAGTAGTAAAATGCTTTTGAATTTGTGACAGATAATTTTCTTGAAAGCAATGCTTTCATTTAAATATATATTAAGTTGAAATTCACCTATAAATATATCTCTAGTATTCAGTGTTTTAAGGAAATAACAAAGATAGTATATATAATCATATATTATACATGATATTCTCCTTAGACTTTAAGGTAATATACTTCCCTAATATATACAAAGTCCTTTTGCAGGGCAATAGAAAAGCCATTTAATTCAGTTTTATTTCATTTTGAAAGGGGGGGGGAGTTTTTAGATGAAGAGATGGTGCAAAAGATTGCTTATCGGTAGAGGTGTTACAGGAAAAGAGCTGAAGGAACTTCCAGATAGGAGCAATAGCTATGTCATAAAATAATTTTTAAAAGTAAAGGAAGTGAAACCTTAAGCCCAGAAAAGAGACAGAGCCCTCGCTTGCTTTAACTAAATATATGAAAGACTGTAATATGGGACAGATATTAGAGCACTGTTACACACTTTATAGCTAATGCTGCAATATTTGTGTAGGAAGATGATCACATCTGTCCTGGGAAACTGAGAATTGCCACTAGAATTTGCCCTTACCCTGGGCAAATTGGGCAACCACTCTGGAAAGCAGTATGAAGATTCCTCAGGAAACTTGGAGTGGA